ATCACAGTCAGCTAAAGTGGCCTGCAGTACTGCACCCTAACCACTGTGCCACCTCGGCAAAGTACAACAGTAAAGTACAACAGACTTTACTACCTGTGTGTGTAAGTAATCCAATTGTTAGGAGGAGGATCATAAATCAATCTTCCTTATTGATAAAAAAAAAAAATTGGGTCAGCATATCACTGAAGATGTTCTTCTGGGATGCCAACAGACATCTAGTGGTTTTCTATGGGAACAAGAAGTTAGACAAGAAGGATAATTTTGAGGTTTAACTCTCAAAATCTCCATCTGCTCTTCCATTTTAACAGTTCTATTAAGAGGGACGCAGTGGCTCAGTGGCTAAGACACTGAGCTTGTTGATCAGAATAGCCGTCAGTTCGGCGGTTCGAATCCCTAGCACCGCATAACGGAGTGAGCGCCCATTACTTGTCCCAGCTTCTGCCAACCTAGAAGTTTGAAAGCACATAAAAAATGCAAGTAGAAAATAGGGACCACCTTTGCTGGGAAAGTAACAGTGTTCCATGTGCCTTCACCATTTATTCATGCTGGCCACATGACCATGGAGATATCTTCGGACAGCACTGGCTCTTTGGCTTAGAAATGGAGATGACCACCACCAGCTAGAGTCGGGAACGACTAGCACTTATGTGCGAAGGGAACCTTTATCTTTACCTTATTAAAGTTCCATTATCTTTTTTTAAACGCTTTTGAAAATGAAATCAATTCACGAGCTGCTTTATTGTTTTGTTGCCATCCCATTCATCTGTCAAATATGTAATCTCGAAAACAAACAAGGATCACCGGCTTTTGTCTCTTCTAGATCAACCATGTGCGCTCTCGTCTGCCGGTAAGTTTACACAATGGGATGGCCTCCTTATACCATCGAGGAAACCAGCTGGTGATCGAAACCATGTTTGGCCTGAAGGTTTACTACGACTGGAACTATTACCTAGTGGTGAAGGTCACCACAGCTTTTCAAAGCCAAATTTGTGGCCTTTGTGGCAACTACAACGGAGATCCCAACGACGACTTTACTACCCCTTCGGGAAGCCTGGCCGCCAACGCTGTGGAACTGGGCAGGAGCTGGAAAGTGGAAGACGGAGATGAAGCTTGCAGACACGGCTGCCACGACAGGTGCCCGCGGTGTTCCGCGGAGTTGGCCGCCAGATACAACACAGAAAATTCGTGTGGCATGATCACTCAACACAGGAGTGGTCCTTTCCATCGCTGCCATGCCTTGATTGATCCCAAGCCATATTTGAATGACTGTGTGACTGATTTGTGTGCCTTTGAGGGTTACAAGCAGATTTTGTGCCGGGCCCTGAAGACGTACGCTGATGCTTGTCAGAGAGAAGGGATGGCCATATCTGCCTGGAGGAAACACGCTGGCTGCCGTGAGTAGAGACTGGGATTTATAGAGACAGGGCTCCCACTAGTTTACGCTGACAGGAGGAGGGGGACTGTCATTCCGGATTGCAATGGGTGTGATAAATCAGTGTTGCATATATGTATAGCCAGACAGATGTTGCAGGTAAATGGAATAGAGATTGACTACAGCATTACGTTTAAAAGGAAACGGTTCTCAGAAGAGATGAGTTGATGGGCTGCTGAAAAAAATGATCAGAGAATAAGAACACTGATTATATTAAGATGGATGGGGAGGAGTGATGATGAAAAGACAGCCAGAGAAGCAGCCAATCTATATAAGAATGGGTGACTTGGGATCTGGACTTGTAGGCCAGCAAAAAGCCATGTCTTTGGTTGCTTAGCAAGTGTTCTTAAACAGATAGAGCATGGCATGGTACTCCACAAGGGTACTCCACGCTTTAGGCCCTTTCTTCTTCCCATCACTGTTAACTGAATCACTGCAATTGTTAAGTTAGCAACGTGGTTAAGTGAATCATGTTTCCCCATTGACTGCATAATAGCCTACACAATACTGTATTTTTTGGAGTGTAAGACACACCTTTTCCCCTCAAATAGAGGGTGAAAATCTGGGTGCATCTTATACAATGAATACAGCATTTTTGGCCTCCTGAAACCCCGCCACCTTTGCAAAAATGGCTGTGCATAGCCTTTAGGAGGCTTCCAGAGTGCTCCTGGGGGCTGGGGAGGGCAGAAATGAGCACAAAACGGCCGATTTTTGCTCGTTTTTGCCCCACAACCCCCAGGAGTACTCTATAAGTCTCCAAAAGGCTACGCATTCCCTTTTTTTTCGACAAAAAAACAGGCCCATTTTCGCAAAAAATGGGCCATTTTTGGGAAGTCTGCAGAGTGCAAAAGCTTTTTTTTTTAATTTGCCTCTTCAAAATCTTATACTCTGGTGTGCCTTATAATCCGAAAAATACACTATCCACTACATAATAGCCACTGTAATTCTGCACCAAATGTAATTTTTGAATGTTCAAGAGTAACTCCAGGTAGAGGAGAGCACTCATACAAGTTGAGTGACTAAGAAAAGGAATTTCTGGTTTGGAAAGAATGCATTTATAGCAATAGCAATAGCAGTTAGACTTATATACCGCTTCATAGGGCTTTCAGCCCTCTCTAAGCGGTTTACAGAGTCGGCATATTGCCCCCAACAACAATCCGGGTCCTCATTTTACCCACCTCGGAAGGATGGAAGGCTGAGTCAAACCTGAGCCGGTGAGATTTGAACAGCCGAACAGCCGAACTGCAGTCAGCTGAAGTAGCCTGCAGTGCTGCATTTAACCACTGTGCCACCTTGGCTCTGGGGCAACAGATAACTCTGTGACTAGCAAAGCTTTTACACAGAGTTATCTGTTGCCCCAGAGCCAAGGTGGCACAGTGGTTAAATGCAGCACTGCAGGCTACTTCAGCTGACTGCAGTTCGGCTGTTCGGCTGTTCAAATCTCACCGGCTCAGGTTTGACTCAGCCTTCCATCCTTCCGAGGTGGGTAAAATGAGGACCCGGATTGTTGTTGGGGGCAATATGCCGACTCTGTAAACCGCTTAGAGAGGGCTGAAAGCCCTATGAAGCGGTATATAAGTCTACTGCTACTGCTATTATACCTTTTAAATGGCTCCTAAGGCAACTGCTGTTGCCTTTTATCCTCGACAACCTCAGAAATGCCAAAAAGATTCAACAACTATTGCATGAATGAAGTGGCAACTATTATCCCTCTTCAACTATGCTTGCCACTTTTCAAAATTTTAAGCTGTTAAAAAAATGCTTTTAAATGCTTAGGTAAAGGTAAAGGTTCCCCTCACACATATGTGCTAGTCGTTCCCAACTCTAGGGGGCGGTGCTCATCTCCGTTTCAAAGCTGAAGAGCCAGCGCTGTCCGAAGACGTCTCCGTGGTCATGTGGCCGGCATGACTAAACGCCGAAGGTGCATGGAAAGCTGTTACCTTCCCACCAAAGGTGGTTCCTATTTTTCTACTTGCATTTTTACATGCTTTCGAACTGCTAGGTTAGTGAGGTGCGGAAGGTAACAAGGCAGGAAAATCTTGGAAAATCACCCAACCCTGTTGATTTATGAAGCAGCCTCAAGGGCTTATTTTGCTCCATCATCAAAGTAGAACCCTCTTTTTGAAGTTCTATGTGGTTCTTGAGCAAGGGTGAGCAATCATGGCCCCTTTATAGACTTCAACTCCCACAATTCCATGGCTGGCTCAGGAATTCTGGGATTTGAAGTCTGGAGGTTGTAAAGTGGCCCTCGCTGCCCAATCCTGCCTTAGGGAATAATTGTAACTCTCAAAGTCTTTCCTTTTTAAGAGTCACATTTGTTGTACTTAAATTATTAACTTTAAGGTGTTCTATTTTACTGTCATCTGTCTTTCCCCATGGGACTCTAGGAAAGCACTCCAAAAATAGAGGCTATTTTCGGTCATACTTGTTCACAAAGACAGAAATAAGCTTTTTAGCAGAGTTGTGAGGGGCTAGGCCAAATTCTAGCCATCCACATTTCGAGTCAGGGTGCAAGAGATGAGACCACACCAGTTGCCCCAGTCAAGAGACGGATTAATTACAACAAGCAGAGAATAACCTAAGGTTGAGCTGTTGGGTTCTTCATGGCTTGAGTGTTGAATTTATGTTTTACCGATAAAGAAATAAAGGGGGACTAGAATAGATGTAAGGGGAGGTGGTGGCTCAGTGGCTAAGACGCTGAGCTTGTCGATCAGAAAGTTTGACGGTTCGAATCCCTAGAGCCGTGTAATGGAGTGAGGTTCTGTTATTTGTCTCCGTGACCCAACAAAAGCACGCCAACAAAACTGCGGCATGAAAACCATGATGTCATAAACGTGCCCACAACAACACGCCGACAAAACCGTGCCCACAAAAGCACGATTTAAGTTAAGGTAAGNAAGGCTGAGTCAACCTTGAGCCTGGTGAGATTTGAACTGTCAAATTGCAGGCAGCCGGCAGGCAGCAGAAGTAGCCTGCAGTACTGCACTCTCACCACTGCACCACCGTAGCTCAACATATATTGCAAAATGCCTCTGTCTCTCTCTCTCTCTCTTCCTTTTGTGTTCCAGCTGAACGGCTTACAGATCAACCTGCCCCACAATGTTGATTCTAACAAAATTTCCCTCTACCACCTGGGATGGGATATTGTAATCATGACTGACTTTGGTTTCGTGGTCACCTTCGACATGAAGAATAATATCCGTATCACACTATCCGGAAGCTACAGGGGACTAACGTGCGGCCTCTGTGGCAATTTCAACGGGAAAGAAGAGGACGACATGATGCAACAAAATGGCATGCCAACCACAAATCCAGGAGAGTTGGGCAGAAGCTGGAAGATCCGGGATATCCTGGGATGCCACGAGAAGGAAAGAGAGTCCTGTGTGGACATGGTGCATATGGAGTACACGCAGAGAATGAGTAAGGAATGTGGACTCCTACTAGACGCCCACGGCCCATTCAAGAGCTGCCATACCAAGGTGCCACCTCAGTCGTACTTCAAAAACTGTGTCTTTGATTACTGCTCCAATAGGGCCAACAAGAATGTCATCTGTCACGTCCTCTCCTCTTATGCTGCAGCTTGCCAAACTTTAGGGATCCAGATTTCCAACTGGAGGTCCGTCCACTTTTGCAGTAAGTAAGGATGGGCAAACCTATTTTGCTTTCTACAGGGAGTTCTCAACTTATGAGCACAGTTGGGACCCGGATTCCCATTGCTAAACAATGGCAGTTTTTAAGTGTGAGTCATGCCTGGTTTTTGCAACCTTGAATCGCCACAATGTTAGGTGAACCATATGGTCATTAGGTGAATCTGTCTCCCCCCCCCCATCCTTTGACTTTGCTGGTTGGAAATAGGCTGGGGAGGGGATGCAAATGGTGATCATATGACCCCGGGACTCTGCAACACTTGTTAATACACGCTGGTTACCGAGCCGTCCAATTTTTGATTACGAGGATGCGACAATGGTCCTAAGGGAGAGGGCTGATTGTCAGTTGCTTTTCCCAAGTGCTATTGTAATTTTGAATGGTCATTGAATGAATGGTTGTAAGCTGAGGACTGCCTGTGTAATGTTCATAGTTTGGGCAAATCTGTACCCACCCCATTTCTGTAACTGTTTGACAAAAATGTTTTTTATGCAAGCAAAACTGTTTTATAGCAATTTGGATAATGTATAGATTTGGATCAAAACCAGTGGTGGGATTCAATTTTTTTTTACTGCCGGTTCTGTGGGCATGGCTTGGTGGCCATGGCAGGGGAAGAATATTGCAAAATCCCCATTGCCTCCCCACTCTTGGGGGAAGGATATTGCAAAATCTCCATTGCCTCCTCACTCCTGGGGAAGGATACTGCAAAATCCCCATTCCCACCCCACCCCGCTAACCTGCTTTCCAGCTCCGTTCTCCTGTGCAGGGCAACAAAAGAAGACCCAGCCAATCAACTGGGACTCAGGAAGCAGCAAATANAGAATAGAATTTAGAATAGAATAGAATACAACAGAAGAACCGAGTTGGAAGGAAACTTGGAGGTCTTCTAGTCCAACCCCCTGTTTAGGCAGGAAACATTTCAGACAAATGATTGTCCAAGCTTGTCAAAGGGTTTCAAAAGGCGATCACAATTTTGATCGACTACAGGGATGCTTCAATGATCGTAAGTGTGAAGAACAGTCATGTCACTTTTTCCTGTGCTGTCGTAACTTCGAACTGTCACTAAATGAAGTATTGTAAGTTGAGAACTACCTGTTAAGTGCACCTGGCTTTCCCATTGACTGTCAAAAGATTGCAAAAAATGATCGCATGAGTCCTGCACACTGCAACTGTCATAAACATGGTGGAAATTAATCAAGGAGAGGAGCAACCTAGAACTAAGGATAGTTAGAGCAATTAATCAATGGAACAACTTGCCTCCAGAAGTTGTGAATGCTCCGGACACTGGAAGTTTTTAAGAAGAGATTAGATAACCATTTGGTGGTTTCCTGCAGGGGGTTGGACTAGTGGTTTCCTGCAGGGGGTTGGACTAGAAGACCTCCAAGGTCCCTTCCAACTCTGTTATTCTAGTCTATTATTCTATATACCTGAGCCAGTTGCCGAGCATTTCGACTTTGATCACTTGACCATGGAAGTGGTGCAACAGTCATAAGTGTGGAAAAACTATTATAAATCACCTTTCTAAATGCCATCGTATCTTCAAACGATCGTTAAGCAAGTGGTCGTAAGTCAGGCATCTTCTACCTTTCACTATTTATACTTGTGTGGTTCTTTTGAGTCGCTATGTCATCTTGATTTCTGGAGGGTTCATTATCCTCTCAGAAGAGGATGAGCAATCAAAATAGGATGATTGGGAAATAGAATAATAGACTAGAATAACAGAGTTGGAAGGGACCTTGGAGGTCTTCTAGTCCAACCCCCTGCAGGAAACCCTACGCCACTTCCGACAAATGGTTATCTAATCTCTTCTTTAAAACTTCCAGTGTTCGGAGCATTCACAACTTCTGGAGGCAAGTTGTCCCATTGATTATTGATCAGAAATTATAAACCTCTTCTGTTTGCATATTACTCTTTCAGACAAATAATCTGTTTTCCTCCAGATGTTACTTAACTACCCTCTCCAACATTCCTCATTTTTGGGGCTGTGATTCCCAGGGATGCTGGCAAGTAGAGCTTATCCGCAGCTGGAGTGCCATAGGTGTCCTATTCCTGTTCAGAAGAAAATCTCCCATGCCCATTTGCAGCCGTAGAGATAACAAATGCCTGCCCCCATTGCTCAAATTAAAAAGGAAATTGAGGGAGCCCCTGCCTCCAATTAAGGAACTCTTTCCCCAGAAAAGAACAGCTGGCCCCCCGTGCAATCTTGTTTTAAACAATAATTGAAGACATGCTTGTTCACTCAGGCATATTTAAGATAATTGGCTCGTGCAAGAAGGTTTTGATTTATTTCAATGAGGCTCTTTATGCCGTAAAAGCAACTTGAGTGGCCTTATCAGGGTGAAGAGGCAACATGATTTAACTCAATGAGCTGCTTCTCTCATCCCTTTGCATTCTCTCCCCGCCCCCCGCCCCCCTTAGCCTCCTCTAGCACTTGCAAAATCCAGCAGAGGGGTTTGCAAAAGTACTGGCACGCCCAGAAACCTTTTTACTGTGCAATTGTGTGGCTGCTACCGTGATAAAGGTAAAGGTTCCCCTCGCATATATGTGCTAGTCGTTCCCAACTCTAGGGGGCGGTGCTCATCTCCGTTTCAAAGCTGAAGAGCCAGCGCTGTCCGAAGACGTCTCCGTGGTCATGTGGCCGGCATGACTAAATACCAAAGGCGCACAGAACACTGTTCCCTTCCCACCAAAGGTGGTTCCTATTTTTCCACTTGCATTTTTGACATGCTGTCAAACTGCTAGGTTGGCAGAAGCTGGGACAAGTAACAGGAGCTCACTCCGTTAAGCGATACTAGGGATTCGAACTGCCAAATTGCCAACCTTTCTGATCGGCAAGCTCAGTGGCTTAGCCACTGAGCCACCGCATCCCTCAGTACTACAGTCGTCCTTGACTTACAACAGTTCACAGTGACCGTACCTGAAGAATGTGAGTTGCGACCATTTTTCA